TGTGTGTGTGTGTGTGTGTGTGTGTGTGTGTGTGTGTGTGTGTGTGTCTGTGTGGGCAGGGGTGTGTGTGTGTGTGTGTGTGTGTGTAGATAAGAAGCATAGATAAAGAAGGGAGAGATGCATCTGCCTAAAATCAGTCTTTCATTTGCTGTTTCAACACAAATATGAGTATTTTTCTTTAATTATGACTGCTGAATTGAAAAAGCCTTTGTTACACAATTCAACAGTCCAGATTTTCATTAACAACCTGAATTAAAGAAAAAAACAGAGCATCACCCACTAAATATCAAATAAAGATGGAGGAGTAAATGTGAGATTTTAACTTGTGACCCCTATTCTTTGGAAAACGTCTAACTCTCTGATTCTGCATTTCACTGATGACCCTTCATAGATGCTGAGCTCTGCCATGGCCTGCCTTCCTACTCAGTGTTAATTAAAACCAAAGGATACTTTGGCAGCTATCTTACTAGACATACAAGAAGAGGTAGTGGGAATGCTGATATGGATACCTCAGATGAGAAAGTGAAACAAGGTGTGGCAAAAATGACATTGATAATTTTGGTAAAACTGCGCAAAGAGGGTGAGTAGGGTTAGAGTTACAACATTCTTTCTGTAATTTCAGCTCTGCTAAACAACCATTTTAAATCAATGGGTCTTTCATAGTCTTGCCTATGTAGGGAACAGCTGTTTAACTTCTACTAGACAGCTGAAGCCCTGATGTCTGAGAGACTGGCTGAACCTGCTAATAGCTGAAAGCAGCTGCCAGCAGTTCATCATCCCCATACCACAATGCTTCTTAGTAGAGCCACAAGGCTAATACACAAAGTACAGGTGATGGCCAGGGCCACAATGCAAAAAGGCTTAACAACAACAACAAACACAAAACTGCATGGACTTAACTAACAGCCTGATAAAGAAATCAGAATTATTTGGGAGGTCAACTGTTGTTGGAGGAATATGATAACTTTACCCAGTTGCCTAACATCTTTTCTTCAAAACAACCTAATATATTTTTCCATCATCAAGGTTCTTCTCCAAACACTGCTCAGACAAATATAGTTCAAGTTTTAAAATTACACCTTAAAAGATATTAAACATTTTTATATATTATATTTATGCCTAAGAAACAAAAAATTCCCATTTACAATAATACCAATCATGTCTCAACAAGTTTATACTGTAGGACAGTATTTAGAACTTGTCCACACTAATGTGCAAAATTCAAAAAACAAATGTGGGCCTGGCGCAGTGGCTCATGCCTGTAATCCCAGCACTTTGGGAGGATGAGGCAGGTGAATCACTTGAGGTCAGGAGTTCTAGACCAGCCTGGCCAACATGGTGAACTCTGTCTCTACAAAAAAAAAAAAAAAAAAAAAAAATTAGCCAGTGTGGTGGTGTGCACCTGTAATCCCAGCTACTCGGGAAGCTGATGCAGAAGAATCCCTTGAACCCAGGAGATGGAGGTGGCAGTAAGCTGAGATCATGCCACTGCACTCCAGCCTGGGCAACAGTGCAAGACTCCATCTCAGACAAAACAAAAACAGTGAACCACTTATCTCTACTCACAATATTAATCCACCTTCTCAGGCAGTTCTTTTCCTTAGCAGAAAAACTACATCATTTCCAAGAATTTTTACATCTATGTGAAATAATAACTTAGTTGACCTAAAAATAAAAACAGACTATCTAGCAGAAATATCTATTCATCTTTGAATCTTACTTGTAGTACATGGCAAGTATGGAGAACAAGGAAGAAAGAAGTTACATGAATTTTAAATAGGTTAATATTGTTTATTTTACATGCTATCTTATAAAAACATTTTTTGGGGGGGTGGGTATGGTGTCTGACATCTGTAATCCCAGGATTTTTAAGAGCCAAGGTGGGAGGATTGCTTGAGCTCAGGAGTTCAAGACCAGCCTGGGCAACACAATGAGAGCCAGTCTCTACAAAAGGTAAAAAATTAGCTTGGTGTGGTGGCATACACCTGTAGTCCCATCTACTCAGGATGCTGAAGTAGAAGGATCATTTGAGCCCAGGAGTGGGGGCTGCAGTGAGCTGTGATCATACCACTGTACTCCAGCCAGGGCAAGAGAGTAAGACTCTGTCTCTAAAAAAATTAAAATTTTTGATTTCATGATTTCTCTGTACTTTACCTTCATTCCAATTGCCTGGTCTTATTTTTATCCTGTTGTAACTACTGCTTAGAAATGATCACAAATTACATTAAGAATCAGGGAAGATACTAATAAATAATTCAAAACAAGCAAATATTTCAATATTCTGTAAATGAATTAAAGAAGAAGGTTCTCTTTATATGCTTTCTTTTTTTTTTTTTTTTTGTTAAAGACGGAGTTTCACCATGTTGGTCAGGCTGGTCTTGAACTTCCCGACCTCAGGTGATCCGCCCACCTTGGCCTCCAAAGTGCTTGGATTACAGGTGTGAGCCACCACATCCGGCCACATGCTTTCTTACAGTCAAAATCTAAGTAAGTTTTTCACAAATTTTTGTTAAGAAATAAATGACCTAGAAATATTTCCAAGTAGCCCCACACATGTTAGAAGTAGTTAAACAGAAGCCTACCTGTGAGAGGTGAAGGTGATCCAACTGGTGTTGATGGATTTGATGGAAAACTACTGCTGGTATGGTCAGGAGAATAAATCTAACCAGAAAACAAGAAATATAAATGTATCAATACGTGACATCACATACACAAATCCATTCACATGGAGTTATTTTTATAATCTAGTTGTCACCCCTAAGACTTCAGAGTGAAAAAATTTCTCATCAAGTTTTGGACTCTTTCATCATACAGAAGCCTTAGTTTAAAAAATATAATTAAAAAGTACATATACTCTAATATAAGAGGAATAAAACAAATCATATATATTTATTATTCTAGGGGAAAATAAAGTTTTTAATTGTTAGAACAGAAAAATAAGAAGTATCTACAAAGTTAACCAGTTCAACAATCTTTCTAAAATATACTGTCTAAATAAGTGGTATCCTTTAAAAATAATCACCTCAGAAAACTGTCAGTACTATCTTTTGGAATGGTCTTTAAGGACAGTCTAAAAGCTGAACAAAGAAAATAATCTTTTTGATAGTTACCCCTTATTTCTCGTTTAAAAGTTACTCAGTTTGAGCAACCACATTTTTGCCAATTTTAACTCCAAATGATTCACTGTTATAAAAAAATTAAAACTTATTCTCAGAAGATACTTTGTCACCCTTGAAGAAAGTGAAAAAATCCTGACATGGTTCAAAAATTGTTTCCAAGATGATTTGTGAATTTCAAACTTCAAATTTTTTGACTGAAAGCTTATATGACTATTTAATTAAAATCATTTCAAACAGGAATTAAATTGCATCAATGGTCAACGTCTGAAACCAGCTCTTCCTGTAGACCAGAGACCCTAGTGCTGCTGACAGAGTCTTGTGGCAGCCCTTAGATTGTCCTGGCAAAGTCGAGAACACATCCAGGTCACAACAGATTCTGGTGTGTTCTGCAGAGTACATGTTTTACAAGCAATATCCCACCCCATGGTCAAGGTAAAATAGGCACAAGTTCTGTGCCCTGCCCCCATGTCATAGGTCTTCTGCGAAGAGGATAAATTATCAGGATGCATAAATTTCGGTGTTCTAGCTTTAAGTTTTGTTGCAATACTTCATATGTATTTCATACTGCCAAAAATAAATGGTGACAGAGATTAATTCAAGTTTATCTAATTCAACAGTAAAGGTTTTTTTTTTTTTTTTTTAAAAGATGGGAGTTTCATCATGATGGCCAGGCTGGTCTTGAACTCCTGATCTCAGGTGATCCACCCACCTCGGCCTCCCAAAGTGCTAGGATTACAGGCGTGAGCCACCGCACCTGGCCCAGTAAACACTTTTTTTTGACATGCAGTCTTGCTCTGTCACCCAGGCTGGAGTACAGTGGTGCGATCTCAGTTTACCGCAACCTCCGCCCCTCCAGGTTCAAGCCATTCGTTCTCTTGTCTCAGCTTACTCACTACAAGTTCGTGCCACCACACTCAGTAACTTTTTTTTTTTTTTTTTTTT